TCTGAAGTGAATGTAGGTGCCTAATTGTCTTTTAATGTTTTTCAGTCAGATGTAATTTTCTGGAGTAGCACCCACGTTTTGCAAAACACATGATTTTCTATGGAATATTATATAACTACAGCCCTCTCCCCTCATTCATTTGCATAGTTGACAGTGGTCAGTTTCTTCTCGTTTTTCTTTTTTTGGCTCATCTCTGACATGCTTGCACTGAGAAATCTCAGAATTTGGAATGGCAGCACTGCCCCAGTTTAGGCAGTGGGCTAGCTGGGAGACCACAGCTGAGAAGCATTGTTACATTTGTTCTTGCATCCCAGAAACAGATGACTTATTAGCACATTTAAATTAGTTGCAGTTTGAGCTTATGTAATTAAAACAATTTTTTTGAGAGATTTTTGCCATAGGGTGCATGTGCTCGCCAGAAAGAGAGAGACAGAGAGGCAGAAAGCAAAACATCACCCCCCAGGGGCGATGGCCACACTGCTATCCGTTCTCCTCCATTCTCCTCTCGGGATCTTGGGCACACACACACATGCGCCCGGTGTGAGTTTAAGCCACAGGGTCCAGGACTTGAACCATGGTCGACTACATGGGAGTCCAGTGACATAGCCATTATGCCAGCTGCTGGCCCCATTTTAAACATGTTTTAATGGAGACCAGTTCTTGGTCCCTACAGAAGAAAAGAAGAATTCAAATGAATTTAATCTGTTGCTTGTCAGAATTATGATAGAAATTTAATAGCACATTTGTTTGGATTGGCAACAAACCCAAACACACTTTCATATGCTTATAGTACATCAGCCACTGAACGTCTGTGTTTGGCCTTATTATGATCTAGTTTCTCCCAATTGTTAAAGGTTTATTTATTTATTTTCTATATGAGAGAAACAGAAACAGCATTCACAATAGTTTCTTTTTTAAAAAGATTTATTTAATTCCATTTGTTATTATTATTTTTTAATTTGACCAGAGAGAGAAAGGGAAAGGGAGAAAAAGGCAAGCCACCAGGTCCAGGACTCGAACCTCAGTCAGCCATGTGGGAATCCAGCACTTTTAGTCACTGTGCCACCTGCTGGCCCCCACAATAGTTTCTTCACTCCACGGTCCACCCCCCAGTTTCAGCCAGCCATGGATCATAGGCACATGTATGCTTAGTGTACTCAGGAAGGTCTGGACTTGAGCCCAGAACCTTCCTGTGTGGGTCATCCTAACACAACATTGTTTTACCTCTGGGGTGCTGTCTAGCCTCCTCTCTGACATCATTCATTTTCTTCACATTGGCACCCCGACTGCAGATTAGGACGGCATTATGTGAGCCAGTCATACTGTTTCTAGTCCATTTGTGTTGGACATGAAGAGCAGGAGTGAGAGCTCCCGGCCATCTTCCGCCCAGATCTAGCCCTGGACGTTCCCTCCCTGTCATCAGGACAGAATCAGCTCACACTAATGCTCCAGTACTAGAAATGACAAATCAAGAGTCCTCCCTGAAGTAAAGAGTAAGCCTCACAGCAATCTGTGCCAGGGAAGCGCATTGATGTGAGCGTGACCTGGCTCCAAAGACTTATTCAGGCCCTCAGGACACCTCAGGCCCAGGGCAGCGTAGCCACCAGCATGTGATGTCCCAGGGACAGTGGAGCTGCCATAGCAAGGACAACAGGCTGACATTGGTCTGTACAGGGTGTGAAAGATAGGGTTGTTGGACAGAGCACAGTTCGGGAAAATAGGCCTTGCATAAAATGATTCCATGATGCAGAACAGATGTTCGTCCAGGGTCACTAGAACCACTGGGTTCTGGGGATGCAGCAGACACCAGATGCCAGTTCTTGCCTGGTAGAGCCACTCTCATGCTCTGGAACCTGGGGTCTGCAGTGTGGCTTGTCATGGGTAGCAGAGCAGGAGTGAGCTGTTTCCCAGGTGGCCAAAGACTGGCCTACCCGATGTGTCTGTGTGTGTGCCCAAAAATACCAACATGAGAATGGAGGAAGGATTGTGGCGTGGCTATCCCCCCTGGGGGACGATTTCTCGCTGTCTCTCTGGCTAGTGCATGTGCCCTACAGCAAAAATCTCTTAAAGAAAGAAAAAGAACTGGCCTACCTGCACCAGCTGCTCAGGAGCCCTCCTTGAGCCTGTTAGGGGTGGGACATGCCCTGGACTCCAGTGCTTTGTGTGTGGTGACACCTGGTGGCTGGTCCCTGGTATTCTGCCGTATCTTTCACAGAGAGCAAACTGAAAATTAGCCCTTGGGCACAGGATAGACTTGGGAGGTTTTTACCTGGAAGCCCTAACTCCTAGTTGGAAGGCCTTACCGGAGCATTTCAGATGTCCTTTGGAGAGCACAGTAGTCCAGAACACACTAATTACTTTAGAAATGAAAATCCTATGCTAAGTTTGGTTATAGGAATCTGAGTCAGGTTCTTCAGTCTCTTTTAACACAAAGACATTCGGTCCCAAGTCAATGTGGCTCTTGTAAGGGTTGCGGAGGCTTAGATACCATGTGCTGTTTTGCAGTTTCATTCCATCCTGGTTGCAGTGCCAACCAAGCAGTGATTAGTAAGGGCCTGCCGGGTGCCAACTCCAGGAGAATGGGGGCGAGCAGGGGAGGCACACCTTGGCTTTCCAGTGTGTGGGGAAAGAGGCAGTGAGCAAGTTCTCCAACAGGACACCCTCAGGAAATGAGGACAGTGAGACAAGACAAAGACAGGGCCACGTGACTGAGAGGCACAGGGTGGGGACACAGTCCTGCCTCAGTGAGGCTGTCAGGGAGGGCTTCCCTGGAACGGCATAAGCCAAGGAAAGGACAGAAATAAGCCAGTTCTTGGCCAAGGGGGCACCCATTGAAAATCCTGTTGAGGGAAAGAACTTCTTGGCATGTTCCAAAAATGGACTAGGTCAGGTCGGCAGGGCAGGAGGAGGAGTGAAGAGGCTGGTGGGGGAAGGCCAGGCCACTGGTGTGGGCCCCACGGGTAAGGACTGTGAAATGTATTCTCAGGTAGTTTTAAGCATGGAGTGATGTCAGTTTGGCTACTGTGTAGAAATAAGGATGGGAAAGGATGGGCGGGGTGGTCAAGAGGGAGCTACCCCTGTAATAGTAGCCCTGGTCAGGGTGGCTGTCGAGGAGATGGAAACTACACTGTCTGTGCTTGAAGCTGGGGTTCAGGGCTCACCCTGCAAGGCCAAATAGAGATCAGCTGTAGACCGGCAGTGCGAATGGTTAGTGACGAGGAGGGAAGTGAGCATCTGTCAGCGTGAGGAGAAGCGTTGCCCAGAGCTGAGCTTTCCTGCTCGCTAGGCAGTAAGTTAGGGTTGTCTGTGTGCTGGTATACACCTGACTCCAGGGATGGCGAGGGTGCCTCTCACCAGAGTGTTCTTGGGTTGGGTTTCACCTCTTTGTTAATTAGCCTTTTCTGGGCTTTGAAGAAGGGGACAGAAAGGGAGTCTGGGGCTTTGAAGGTAGAAAGGAAGGTGCTGGAAGGGGACCCTTGAACACAAGAACATAGCTGCAACATGAACCCCAACTGACAGTTTTTTAGCCTGTTGTGTGGGGGGGTTTCAGGCAAGGGCCCCACATTAGTTTATGAGGGATGAGCAGTTGACAGGTAGCTATGGAAAGGCCACTGTCCAGCTTTGTCTGGCAATTTCTGGGTCTGCCCTTTGCATGAAGACTGCCCTGCCCAGGAGAACCTGCCGGTCCAGGGCTTGCTGGACACTGAGGATGGGCGGCGTGAGGAGTGTCCTTGGCCCACCAGTCTGGTTCCCTGGTTCTCTAAGTGCAGCTCCTTGGCACTCAGGCCGAGGAGGCTCCACCCCCACCAGCTGCTGCGTTATTTCTGACTCATCCAGGAGTTCCAAGTGTGTAACTCAAGCTCCTCCACGCCCGGCTTCCTCTCCTCTGACTCCTGCAGGGAGGGAGCTCTGGACGTCTCTCCTGGGGCTTGTCTACAGGTTGGGTCCCTGCTGCACCTGGGCACAGCCGCTGGCCTTCACAGCCGCCTGCGGGTGCCGCCCTCTGACAGGTGGGAGGTGCATGAGAGTGGCGACAGCAAGCCTGGCTAGTGCCTGGACCCCCAAACCCCTGAGCCTGCCTCTCCCCATTGAGGGACTCCTTGGAACTCAGCCTAGGAGCTGGCCTCTTGAACTGTCAGGGGCTTTTGCAGAGAGTCATCCTGCTGTTTGGGGTGGGTAAATGATCTCACAGTTTCTTGAGCCCAAGGCTCTAGCCAGCTGCCTCCGATGAGGTCACTTTTGCTTCTGTGAAAGTTGTTTGTAAACTGGGGGTGATTTGGACTTGTTGCAGAAGCCTTGCTGCAGGAGTGGCTGGAAGGTAGAGCTGGTCCAAAGCCTGGGGCAGCACAGTCTCCCTGCCTGACTGTGCAGTTCCCTCTGTGCACAGAGGCAGCAGGCAGACTAGCCCCCTGCAGCACCCCCTCTGAAACAGAGCTGCTCAGCCTGGCTGGCTGGGGCCGGCGGGGGCCAGGGAGGAACCAGGCAATTTGCCACCTGCTCTGTGCCCTCAGAAATGAGACCCTGGTGGGAATGGACTCCTGGAAAAGAGTGCAAGTCACCCAGCAGGTGTCTGAGTGTGTTTTGTCCCGTGTCCCTCCCTTTTCGATGCTGTTTGTTGCTCTGCAGGAGTCCCCAGAGCTGGGCCAGGGGGATGAACCGCGAGGGAGCTCCCGCGAAGAGTCCGGAGGAGATGTACATTCAGCAGAAGGTCCGAGTGCTGCTCATGCTGCGGAAAATGGGATCAAATGTGAGTGTCTGTGGGTGTGGAGCTGTCTAGTGTACCTGCTGCTTGCCAGAAGGTGGAGGGGACCACCACGGTCTGGGAGGGGCTGAGGCCTGTGATTTAGCTCCCTGGGCTTGGGACCCAGCAAGTCCAGTTCCTAGGGCACCGCTGGGGCAGGCTTCCTACCCCCAAGCCGGGGGTGGGCCAGGCAAGCGGTAGGGGTCTGACAGCCCTGGGCTACCTTTCCTTTCCCACCTCTGAACAGCCGCCTTCCAGGGACATCCAGGGCAGCTGGCCAGATAGGCACTGACAGGGGCAGCAAATGGGTCGGTGCAGGGGCATTTCCCAAAAGGAGAGAGTTTGGAATTGCCCGTCTGTGTCTCCCATTGGCCTTGTGCTAGACTTGATTTCATCTGAGTGGCTAAGCCTGTGGCCCATAGTCCCGCAGACCAAGTTTTGTGGGGAGCAAGGTGGGAGATGGAGGTGTCTACCCCTGAACCAAAGGGGTCAAGTATCAGGAACAAAAGCCTGGGGACTAAAGGAGGCGGCACTGCAAGGGGCGAGCAGCCTCAGCAGGTGCATACTGCCCCTTACCTGAGGCTCTCTCGCCTACAGCTGACGGCCAGCGAGGAGGAGTTCCTGCGCACCTATGCGGGGGTGGTCAGCAGCCAGCTCAGCCAGCTGCCACAGCACTCTATCGACCAGGGTGAGTGGGGGCCAGTGTGGCTGGCCGGGCCGTCCCAGGGCACACGGTTTGCTTCCTTTAGAGATTTAGGTCTGGCACTCCTAGATGGGTGATCCCCAAACTCAGGCACATAAGGAGGGACTGCAGGTCCCTCCTCCCACAGAACTAAGCCCAGGGAGCCTCCAGAGCTTCCTGCCCTATCTCCTTCCCAGGGTGAGAGCCCAGGACCCTACAAGGCCTATAAGGGGGTTCCCTTTCTAGGCCTGGGTTAGGCAAGAAATGGAAGCATCTGGGGGCCCTTGTAACTGCTGAGGCCCTGGCTGCTGTGTTTCCTTAACCTTTGGCCTGACCTCGCCCACCCAGCACACTGACCTCATTTGTGCTAGGACAGTGTCATCACTGCCAGTCAAGGTACAGGCCACACAGTGGCTGGTGTGGTCTGGGCTATGACCAGAAGGGATGCCCTGAAAGCCCTGGATGTCTCCTTGTGCCTGAGGGAGTTGTATCTGTTTTGGAAGAGACAAGCAACCATCATGATGGTAGGTACCGGCTGAGTGTTAACTGTAGCAGGGACTATGGCAGGTGCTTGACAGACGTCATTCCACGTCACCGTAGATAGCTGCTGCTTGTGTTACTTGCACTTAACAGGCAAGGACATGGGCTCAGAAGTCACTGCCCTGGGTCACACAACCCGTTACAGGCCTGCAGCCCGACTCTAGAGCCAGTGTCTGTCTTTGTCCCTAACCAGGGAGCTGCCGCTTCACGTTCCTTAGCTGCTTATCGGGGCTCTCACTCTCCTGAAGGCTGATACTGTAGCCTGGTATTCTATCTAGCATTTCCATATAGTCTTTTCCTTTTATTCTGTTTATACTTTGTTGGAATTATTGGCCATAAAATATTGCCAGCTGTGGGATGTCCGGACACGAGCAGGCTCCCAGAGGCAGAGTGCTGAGGGGACCTGTGTGGCTGGCATGGCAAGAGCACACACAGGACTGCACGTCTTGAAGCTGATCTGGCACTCCCGCCAGCCCATGTTCTCCTGGTGTCACAGGGCTCTGCCCTTCTGCAGGGGCTGGTTCCCAGGTGCTGTTGCTGGGTGTGACCAGCCTGTGCATCCAACTCAGCAGAACTAACAGGAAGATCCGTGGCTCAGGCAGCCCCTGGGGTAGCCGCTTGCAGTGCATGCTTGTCCAGGCGTGCCCGCCACACCAACGCAGCCTGTCCTAGATGGAGTCTGCCCTGCCCCTCCTGGCATCTCTTGGGAGAGGTCTTTGCCAGTGCCGATCTGTGTTTCTAGAATGGGCCCTACCTCCTGGCTCCTGAACCAGATTTTCCTGAAACCCTCAGGCCTCTGAATCCTTCCTCTCCACTTGGTCTTGGTGGTAGTGGTGGTGGTGGGGTGTCACTGAGTTAACCTGTATTTGAGATTGGGTAGTAAGAAAGCCTTGAGGGGCCAGCAGGTGGTGTGGTGGTTAAGGCACTGGATCTCATATGACTGGTTCTGTGGTTCAAGTCCTGGACCTGGTGGCTTGAAGAACACACTAGGCACATGTACATATGCCCAAAGTCTCAAGAGGAAAATGGAGAAGGGATTGTGGCATGGCCATCCCTGCTGGGGTATGAATTTGCACTTTCTCTCTCTTTCTGTCTCTCTCTGGCAAGTGCATGTCCCCCATGGCAAAAATCTTTAAAAAAAGTTTAAAAAGCCTTTAGCGGGATGCTCCTATTAGGAAAAAAAAAATCAAAATAAGTTATAGAACTATGTGTTAGTATAGAAAACAACACAGGATCAGCAGGTGGCTTGGTGGTTAAGGTGCTGGACTTTCACTTAGCCAACCATTGTTTGAATCCTGGTAGCTTGCTTTCTTGCTTTCCCTCTGTTTTCCTCTGTCTCTCTGGAAAGCACATGTGCTCTATAGCAAATTTTAAATAATTTAATTTAATAATTCTTTTAGGGGCCAGCAGGTGGCGTGGTGGTCAAGGGCGCTTGATTCACACACGACTGACTGCTGTTCGAGTGCCGGGCGTGGCAGGTTGGTTTCTCATTTTCTGTCTCTCTCTCTCTGTGCAGATTAAAATAAATAAATAAAGTTAAATAAAATAATTATTAAAAATAATAATTCTTGGGGACCCGCAGGTGGTGTGGTAGTTAAAGTGCTGGTCACTCCCACATGGCTGACTATGGTTCAAGTCCTGGACCTGGTGGCTTGCTTTCTCAACTTTCTCCCTCTCTCTCTGTGAGTCTCTCTTTGGTCAAATTAAAATAAATGAATGAGGGTGACCAGCAGTTAGCATAATGGCTATGTCACTGGACTCCCACGTAGCCGACCGCGGTTCGCATCCAAGACCCGGTGGCTTAAAACTCATGCCAGGCACGTGTGCGTGCGTGCCCAAGATCCCGAGAGGATTATGGAAGAGAAGGGATTGCAGCTTGGCCATTCCCCGTGGGGGGTGATTTCTTGCTTTCTGTCTCTCTGTCTCTCTCTGTCTGTCTGGCGAGCGCACGCGCCCTATAGCAAAAACCTCTCAACAAAAAAAGAATGAATAAATAAAATAATTCTAAAAAAAGTAATAATAATAATTCTTTTTAAAAAATCATAATTAAAAAAGCAGAAAGAATACATACTCTACCTTCACCCTTCCCACAGACATCCACATGATGAATATATACTAGATTGTCAGCAGCAAATTTTTTTTTAAGAATTTTATCCAACTTTATTGTTGTTATTATTTTCTAGTTTGATCAGAGAGAGACAAAGAGAGAGGGAAAGTGAGAAAGCGAACCACCAGATCCGGGACTCAAACCGTGGTTGGCCATGTGGGAGTCCAGTGCCTTTAACTACCACTCCACCTACCAACCCAGTCAGCAGCAAATTTTAATATAAGGAACTTTCACTGTCCAGGTCGCCTATCTTGTAAATCCAGTATGTTTTTTTAATTGTCAGAGGCACATGCACTCGCCAGAGATACATATAGAGAAAAAATAACCCCCCAGTAGGGTGTGGTCATACTGCTATTCTTTCCCTCCATTTCTCCTTCCTATCAGGATTTGGGGCACACACGCACATGTGACCACTGTATTTTTCAAACCGTTAGGGCTGGGATTTGAGCTACAGTTAACCTACTGTGCTACAGAGCTGGCCTTGTAAAACTAATTTTTACTCCTTATACATACATTTCTTTTATAATAAGAGGAAGTTTAAAAATATTTTTCAGAGGGACCAGCAGTTAACGTAATGGCTATGTCGCTGGACTCCCATGTAGTCAACTACAGTTTGAGTCCTGGACCCGGTAGCTTAAACTCACGCTGGGCACATGTGCGTGCATGCCAAGATCCCGAGAGGAGAAAGGAGAAGGGATTGTGGTGTGACCATCCCCCCTGGGGGGTAATTTCTCGCTTTCTGTCTGTCTCTCTCTGTCTGTCTGGCGAGCGCATGCGCCCTATAGCAAAAAACCTCTCCCAAAATACATATATATATTTTTTTTCCCAGAGAATTCTTTTTATCTTACTTAGCTGAACCAAAGTTGAGAATAAAATGAGCTCTGCAGAGTAGTTTAAGAAGATCATGGTGACCTTACATAGTTGTTGACCTGACCCTGAAACTGCTGAGCACCCAGGAATGAGCTATAGGCTGGGGGATGTGGCCATCCTTGTGGGTCCTGGCATCAAGTCCTCCTGGCCATGTGGAGTCTACATTGATGCTTCCCTCTGGGGAGGGGGCTCCCAGAGCCGAGGGAGAATCTGGGGGAGACTTACTGGTGAGAAGATGGCAGGAGGAGTTCTCTGGACTGAGTACCCTGCAGTCTGTCTCCAGCCCTGCATGGTCACCTCTGACCTGGCTGCTGAGGCCTGAACCTTGAGAATTTCTGTGGGGACCAGATGGCGTAGTAGTTACATCACTGGACTCCCACATAGTCAACCAAGGTTTGCGTCCTGGACCCAGTGGCTTAAACCTCACACTGGGCGCGTGTGCATGGGTGCCCAAAATCCCTGGAGGAGAATGAAGGGATTTGGGCATGACCATCTCCCTGGGGGGATGATGTCTTGCTTTCTGTCTCTCTCTGTCCATGAGCACATGTGCCGTATAGCAAAAATCTGGGGGAAAAATAGAATTTCTGTGGACTATGAGTTGGAGAGGGAAGGACTGCAGGTTTTCTGGAAGAGCTTCACAGTATACTGCTATTTTCTAAAGACATCACAGACAGAGCCAACAGGTTATATATTGGTCAAGGCAGTGGACTCCCACATGGCCGACTGTGGTTCAAGCCCTGGACCTGGCAGCTTGAAAGTCACACCAGGCACAAGTGCGTGCATGCCCAAAATTCTGAGAGAAGAATGGAGGAGGGGATTATGGCATGGCCATCCCCCTGGGAGAGAGGGCAATTTCTCATTCCCTCTCACTGTTTCTCTCTTTTTGGTGAGCTGACAAAAATTTAAAAAAAAAAAAAAAAAAAAAAAGAGACATCACAGACAAACATTCAACAATTCCAGCAAAACTGCGGTCAGTCTAGCCTCCCCCACTGTGGGCTTGCAAGTCTGAGAGTAGCACCCTGTATTTCTGCCCATTCCAGGGGGGCCTCTGGGTGTCTGCTGAAATTCTCACTGCCCCCCCTTCTCCAGTGGCAGAGCTGACCTGTGCTGTAGCAGGATATCCTGCTGTCAAGAGGCTCAGGCACTGCCCTGTAACAAAGTCCTGGACTTGCCCCCGGCTAGCTGTAGGGTCCCTTCATGAGCCCTTAAGACCTGGCGCGCAAGTGCTTCCTGCCCACTAGGTGGCGCTGTCTTCCAGCGAATGCCCCAGTCTGCTCCAGGTCCGCAGAACAGGCAGGGGAGCTGGGGCAGACCCGCTTGGACAGCACTCAGCCTGTTTGTTGGGACCTGGCCGCACCTTTAGACCTGCACACACCTCCCCTCCAGAGCCGGAGGTTCTGATTCCCGGGCACACTCACCCCCAAGTCTGAGGGTATCCCTCCACCCACTGCATTGGCCATTCCCAGGCCTATTGGCATGTGCCTCCCTG